AATTTTGAACTCGGATGAAGTCCACTTGCGGCGTGTTCACGCGAGTACGATCGCGTCAAAGCTCGGCGAGATCTGTCCAATAGTCCCTGTCTGAACACGCTCTCTAATGCTCGGCGCATGACAGACTCATGTCACATTGTGTATGACGCGTGAACGACCTCATGTTGTTACCTGATGTGCGAGTGAGTCCAGTGTCTCTCTTTCGACACGGTGCGCCAAGTGCAAACCGATGAACCCGGATGAAGTCCGCTTGCGGCGTGTTCACGCAGGTACGATTGCGTCAAACCTCGGCGAGATCTGTCCAATTGTCCCTGTCTGAACAAGCTGGGCCGTCGCCTCCTGGTGCGTTCCACGGTGCGACGCTGCCTCCTCTCTCGGTCGTTCGTGCGTCGCCCACTACGGTTTCTCTACGTCGGCCTCTGGGGCGCGGCCCTCGGTCCGGCGATCGGCGATCGGTCGGCGATCGGTAGGGTTTGTTACTTTTTTTTATATAGAGTGCGAGTGAGTCCAGTGTCTCTCTTTCGACACGGTGCGCCAAATGCAAACCGATGAACCCGGATGAAGTCCGCTTGCGGCGTGTTCACGCAGGTACGATTGCGTCAAACCTCGGCGAGATCTGTCCAATTGTCCCTGTCTGAACAAGCTGGGCCGTCGCCTCCTGGTGCCTTCCACGGTGCGACGCTGCCTCCTCTCTCGGTCGTTCGTGCGTCGCCCACTACGGTTTCTCTACGTCGGCCTCTGGGGCGCGGCCCTCGGTCCGGCGATCGGCGATCGGTCGGCGATCGGTAGGGTTAATATATACATGGATGGATTGCACGATATGTTTAGCAGTTTTTCTCGATGCGAAGACCGTTCCGTGTATCGCCCATCGATTCACAGAACGGCAAGCCGTACACAATGCAAGCCGTACACAATGCAAGCCGTACACAATGTGAAGGTCTCCATACACGTGCAGAGATGAAGGATAGAGAGACATGACAGAATATAAAATGTAGGCAGTGATGTCTGCAGACATTCTAAAGACGCGGACATTCAACAAAGAGACGGCAGAATATAAAATGTAGACAACGATATTGACGGACAGACGGCTCATTCGCCCTTATGCATGGTCGCTCCACGAAAATGCTGCCTTCAGAAGATGGCTGTCTTTTGGAAACTTATGAATAGCCTGTAAACAGGTGTAGACATCCCCGCTTGGATACTTATCATTGTTTCGATGAGGTCGTGTCGTTGGCTCACTGTCGTGGGGAATGACGGTGCCGTCCGCGAGCATCATATCAGCCTTAAGAAAGGCGGCAGGGGCCGGGCTCTTGGGCATGAGTTCTTCCAGCAGCATGTCCATAACTGACATGGCTGGCTCTACGTCCTCAGCCTGCAGGCGGCCATCACAGAGAGAAAGAGAGAAGATAAAATTCGGCCCGAGAGTGGGGGAGATGGGCAGAGGGCGACGTGTACACACTGGGTGGCATTGCAATGTGCGGTTTTCCTGACCGTCTGGGTGTTGGTGGATGCCCAACCCGTGAGATAAACCCACACCCTCCTGTCAGACAGCATACGGCAGCCGGTCAACGAGGGAGTGCACCATGTGGCATTCCTTTCTCCTCACCTGAGGAACTCCATCCTTATCAGTCCCTCACACACAGACCTGCACACAGCACACAGACAGCAAACGGATTCAGTGCAGCGCCACACATCATGATGGCGTGAATGCAAGAAGAGATGTCAGCGGTCTTTCCTCCTTTGGCCCCTTCCATACTCACCGTTGTGGTCTCGTCGCAGCGACCTTGGGGGCTCCTCAGCAGCTCCTTACGGCGGCTCTACGGCGGCTTTCTCGCCTCAAGAGGGCTCACTCGACCAATTGCACTCGACGCGGAAAGGTGCCGCAGTTGTTGGCGCTCGATTTCACCTCTCGTTTTCACAGCGAGAACCTTATTCGCTCGAGACCTTATTCGCGAGCTGCTGGCCTCTTTTTTTTGTGTGTTCTACGTGAAAGTCTGTGCCCTCGTAGCAGTTGCCGCTCGCAAACAGCGCCGTGCCGTCGCCGTGGATGCGCTCGTCGACCCACTGGCCCTCGAACACCGCACCGTCGGCGTCGCTGAACGTGCCCTGGCCCTCGTCCTCGTACTTCTCGTGCCCTGCACACACCACACCACACCATGACACGTGGACCGACGGATGGATGGTTGCATTTGTTTCGGTGTGCTGGTGTCGCTGGCTCACTGCTGTGAGGGATCACGGTGCCATCGGGGAGCAGAAGATCAGCCCTCAGAAACGCGGTTGGCGGCGGGCGCTTGGGCACCAGCTCGGCGACTAACATGTCCATGATGAACATTGGTGGCTCCTCGTCCTCCGGCTGCACGCGGCCATCACAGAGAGAGAGAAGATGAAATGCGGCCCGAGAGTGGGGGAGATAGGCAGACGGCGACGTGTACACACTGGGTAGCATTGCAATGTGCGCTTTTCCTGACCGTCATGGTGTCGGTGTGTGTGTCCTTCAGCCTCCCTATCCCTCTCATCAGATATCCCCATAGTCCCCTGTCAGAGAGCACACGGCAGCAACTTGAGGAACGGGGTGCACCACCTGGCCTTCCTCTCGCCTCACCGGAAGTAATCCATCTGTATCCTTGTCTGTATCAATCACTCAAAGCCCTGGCCTTCGAACAACTCACCGTGGCCCTCGCGGCTGCCAACCACAAACTCGTCCTCGTACTTGTCCTTCCCTGCACACACCACACCATGACACGTGGACCGATGGACCGATGGATGGTTGCATTTGTTTTCGTGTGCTCGTGTCGCTGGCTCACCGTCGTGGGGGACGACGATGCCGTCCGGGAGCATCATATCTGCCTTCAAGAAGGCGGCAGGGGCGGGCACGGGCACCAGCTCCTCTATCAGTAGATCCATAATCGACAGGGCTGGCTCTTCTACGTAGTCGGCCTGCACGCAGCCATCACACAGAGAAAGAGAGAAGATGAAATGCGGCCGAGAGTGGGGGAGATGGGAAGAGAGAAACATTTACTGGGTAGCATGATGTGCCCTTTTCCTGACCGTCTTGGTGGTGTTGGATGTGTCATTCTGCCCTGCTGCCCAACCCGTGAGATAATCCCACACACGCTTGTCAGACAGCAGACGGGAGCCGGTCAACGAGGGGAGTGCACCACGTGGCATTCCTCTCTCCTCACCTGAAGAAGTCCATCCTTATCAAACTCTCACAGACCTGCACACAGCACACAGACAGCAAACGCACTCATTTGGCGTCACGTCCGATGTAGTGCAGCGCCACACATCACCATGGCGTGAATGCAGGAAAGAAATGTCAGCGACCTTTTCCCCTTTGCCCCCTCCCATACTCACCGTTATGGTCTGGCGGCAGTGCCCTCCTCGGGGCTCCTCAACAGCGCGTTGCAGCCCTGGAAGTTGTTGGCGCACCTCTCGTTTCACCTCTCGTTCTCACAGGCAGAAAGTCAATTTCCACTTGATCTCCTTTGCTCCGAACTGCCGCTGTTGTTGCTGAATCCTCCGAGCTTCTGAGCTCGCAGTTCAGAATCTGTGTCCTCAGTGACGCCCGGGCTCCTCCACAATGCCTCGCGGTTCTCTCGCCTTACGAGGGCTCAGCGATTATCAGCGGTTTAACGCAATTGGTTTAACGCAACCTCAGCGAAGTGGTGCTCAGAGGTGAAGCGTCGGCGTGGCTGAACGTGTCCTGGCCCTCGCGCTTGCCAAACAGAATGTGTACCGTTTGGCCGCCTCGATGCGCTTCATGGACGTTGCCATGGCCTCCTTCTCCCTCCCTTGCTGACTCTGCACATACCCACACGCCATGCCACGCCAGGCATAGAGAGAGAGACGGATGTGTATGCTATGTGTGTCTGTGTGTGTGAAGACATGGGTGTGTGGTGGGGATGGGGTGGTTTTCGGCTGACTGACCATCGCGTTCTTGATGAGATAGTCCAGCCCCTCCTTCAACAACTTCTTCTGCAGCTGAGGGACCGCACACAAACGCAACGTGTTCATCGTGCCGTCCATCCATTCGTCCGATGTGCCCCCGCTCGGCTCACCTTGTGGGTGATCTGCATATCAAACAGATGGGCGGCCTTCTCCTTCCTGACACTATCGTCATCGGCCTCGGCCTCAGCCTGGGGTGGGGTAGCGGTGGGGTGGCTGTGTGGCACCACTGTGGCGTCGGGCAGCATCATATCACCGTCCACACGCAGAAGGGGGGGTTCGTGGTGGGGGGGCACCAGCGCCATCACCACCTCGTCCATCATGGACAGATACATCCCGCCTCCTTCCTAAACACACAGATCCATACGCACACGACCACACAACTTAGTGCGATGGACGGCATGTGTGGGTGGATGTCGGGCGGATACATCTGACCGTGTGCTGCTGCCGGTTGCCCGTGATCCCTTCCCATGCATTGATATCATCCCTCGAGGCCTCCCATTTCTGTGTGTGTGTGTCGCTGCCGTGTTCCTTTGCTTATCCTCACCGTGTCAAACCCATTGCTCCGCGTCCTCTCCTCTTCGCTCGACGCTCGCCACTGGCGTGCGCTTCTCCTCCACGCTATGGGAACTGAGTGGCTCCGGCTCTCTCGGAAGGCCGATTCGTTTGGTCACGAACGTTCGTTCTTCAGTCAACGGACACCAAAACCGGCCCGAGAGAACGAAGAAAGCTCTTTTCTGCGCCGCTGCATCTTTTTTTTTGTTTGTGTTGCGTGAAAGTCTCGACGAGCTCCGTTTTACGCCAAACTCTAACCCGTCTTCTCGACGTCATATGGGCCTCCCGTGGTAGGCAGGCACTATTCGACAGCACAGTCAGCCTTCGAAAGCACGAAAGATCTGCCGGCGTTACGTCATCTATCGTCTCATGCGTCTCGTCTATGGATGAGTGTAGGTGGAAGCGGCGCCTGCTGTGGGCGTTGAAGGGCGATGCGTCGCTGCTGCCGTCGCACATTGCCATCATCATGGACGGCAACAGGCGGTTCGCACGCAAGAAGCACCTCGGCACTGGCGAGGGCCACCGCTCGGGATTCAACAAACTGCACGAGGTAGGCGGATCAGAATGCAGACACAGACACAGACACAGACACAGACACAGAAACACAGACACACAGACACACAGCCAGACAAGTGTTGTGTGTTGATCGGTTTCGTTGATGTTCGTGTCAGACGCTCGAGATGTGTCTGGAGTTGGGGATCCGCCACGTGACGGTGTATGCCTTTTCTGTGGACAACTTCAACCGCTCGGCCGAGGAGGTGGAGGACCTCATGGACCTCGCTCAGGAGAAACTGTCCGACGTTATGTGGCAGCGGTCGGTCAGCCTGCACAAGAATGAAACGATGACTGACACATAATGCAGCCTTGGTGGGTGGCTGCTTGTGTTGTTGGTGTGTGCGTGTGTGCAGCGACTTCCTGCAGGCGAATGAGGTGCAGATCCGGGTGGCTGGGGACATGTCCTTGCTGCGGCCGTCACTTCGCGCAGCCGTCGAGCAGCTCACGCAAGCCACTCAACACCACAGCAAGTGAGTGACTGTGGAAGGCCTTGCACCCATTCAGTCATTCGCTGTCGCATTGTCTGTCATTCGTCGCTCCTCTCTCCTTTGTGTCTGTTGGCCAGGGCGATTTTGACTGTGTGTCTGGCCTACGGCTCCCGCCACGAGATGCACGAGGCCATGAGGCGCTCAGCAGAGGCACAGCCCAGCCCTTCACCAGCCCCACGCCCATCGTCGCTCGAGCAGCCCCCCACCCACAACAGCAGCAGCAGCAGCAGCAGCAGCGGCGGCGGCAGGTCCGATGAGGCTGCGGTCTCTCTCCCCAGTGACGGCATTGCCCCCTCTTTCGACGCCTTTCTGTATACTGCGGGTCTGCCGGACCCCGACCTCCTCATACGCACATCCGGTGGGTGGGCGGGCGAGATAGGGAACACCCATCTGCAGGCAGACAATGTCTGTTGATATGTATTGTGTGCAGGGGAAACGAGGCTGTCGGACTTCCTGCTGTGGCAGGTGGGTGAGCGAATTTCGCTTCTTCGATTTCTTGTCGGGTATCGTATCCTGTCTGTCTGTCTTGTCCTGTTTTCATTATCTTGGTGTGGACTGCAGGTGTGTGAGCGGACGAGCTTCTACTTCACGCCGGTGCTGTGGCCCGAGATGACCACCCTGCAGTTCATCAGCCTCATCCTGCACTACCAGATATTCGCCGACCACCACACCAAACACACAACCACGGCGGGCGCCAATTAGACACATTGGCGCCAATTAGACAAGGTGACTTAAATCTGGCAAGATGAGCAGCCCAAGCAGACAGAAGACTTAGTGGGGTGGGTGCGTCTGCTGTGTCTGTTGTGGTGGCTTGGCTTGGTGCATCCATCTCTCCATCCAGCCAAGCGTGCCGTGGGGGTGGGGTGAATAATGGGGCGGTACGGCAAACACATACAGCCGGGGCCATGGCAGCCACATCGCTTTCCCTCCTTCCTGCCTGCCTGCCACTCATGAGCCGGGAGGGGGAGCGAGTGTCTGTGCACTGCAGTGAGTGATATCGACACACATAGAAATGCGGACTGAGTGGAGTGAGTGTACACCGACTGACTGACTGACGAAGCACTCACTGTCCAGTCAGTTCACTTGCACACGTGCGTCGAGATCTCTGCATGGATTAGATTAGTACTTGCGTACTGCGTCCCTCCCCTCCCCCAGTCAGTCTCTTCCTTCCCCATTAATGGCTCAGGATGCGTGGCCTGCACCGTCATCCATCCATCCATCCATCCAACTGCTCACTCGCTAGTCAGTGTGTCTATCTACTGGCTGCCCGACCCCCCATGTCTGTCCTGGTACGTGTGCCACACCGCATACACCAGCAGCGCAGTCATCACCCCAAACACGCCAATCTGCACACAGCACACACGCATTGCAGACAGACAAGACACGGACACACCGCATCCATCCACAACTCAGACCAGACAGCACAGAGCGCTTACCAACAGAAGAAATCGCCATGCAGGCGGCTCGCTGTCTGCACAGAGATTCAGACACAGACAGACAGACAGGCAAGGGAAGGGAAGGAGGGCAATCGGCCAATAGGTCGGCCATCGTCCTGCATCGCATGACCGTACCGTACCTTCCCCCCAGAGGTAGTTGAACGCCGCCTGTGAGTCGGGATTCTCCTCCAGAAACTTGCTGTACGCTTTAGTGACCTCCCCCTCCAAATCAAACACATCCTCCTCTCCACCATCACCATGCTCGCCCGCCCCCTCTGCCCCTGGCCCGCTGTCGGAAGCCGCTGAACCTGCAGCTGATCCTGCTGCTGCTGTAGCTGCTGCTTTGGCGGCAAGTTTGGCCGCCCTGTCCCGTTGCATTTTGTGGCTCATCTTCATGAGCAGCATGGCGCACTGCGCGTGGGTCTGCACGTTGTCGGGGACGCTGTAGATGCAGTCCTTGAACACACCCAACGCACCCTAGGGATACATACATTGCCATACCACACACACACACAGGCAGTGATGGTGCGTCCGTCTGTCTGTCTGTCTGTCTGCTGTGTGTGGGGGAGGGGGAGGGTGATGTGCGTGCCTGTGGGTCGTTTTGTCTGATGAGTGTTTGGCACAGGTTGAGGTAGGCCAGGTCGGCGGTGGGGTCCTCGTCAAGTACATGACGAAAGCGCTCACTCGCCGACTCCAACTTGCCCGCACCCAAATAGGCCGATCCTGCAGGGCGGACAGGACAAAAGCAGATTGATTGACATACAACAGACAGACAGGGTGGTTGGGGTGCTGGCTGGCCCGCTACCTAGGTTGTGGTGCGCCATGAGGTCGTCAGGGTAGTGGGCGACGATCTCCCGGTACAGCGATATGGCTTCCTCCCACTCCTCGCGAGAATAGCGAACCTGACAGACAGACAGACAGACAGACAGACAGACAGAAGAAAGGTTGGAGGGAGGGAGGGAGGGAGGGAGGGAGGAAGCACACACACACACACACACACACGTCTGGGTGTCTTTGTCTGTCCATCCATCCATCCATCCATCCATCACTGTGTTGACTTGCCTGTGCGAGATGCACTTTGGCCTGGAAATTCGCGGGGTTGACCTTCAGACACTCGTGTAGCAGCTCCACTGACCTGCACACACGCACACACACACACGCACACACACACACGCACACACACGCACACACACACATACAAACCCACTGCCAGCCGGCCACCGTTCCCCCCAGCTTTTCCTTACCTCTGCGTCGCGGCGATGCGCCGCTTCAGTGCAGAAGCCTCGTCTTCGGCTGCTGCTGGCCTCTCGTCCAGTTTTGGTATCTCTTCGCCAGTGGCGCCCTCGCCGCTGTCACCGCCCTCTGCCTCTGTGTGGGCGGTGGGGGTGTCGGGCCGGACTGCCTGGTCGAACAGAGCCATGGCCAGCAGGTTGAGGGCGGTCTCGGACCTGCAGACAGACACATACACACACGACACACACGCGAATGTGGGAGTGATGTGGTGTCTGTTTCGTGTTGATTCAGCATGCTTACCTGGGTTCGAACGTAAGGGCGGTCTCGTAGCTGGAAATGGCCTTTCCGAAATCGTTGGCCTGACATACACACACACACACACACACACGCACACAAATAAACATACAGCACGTTCAGAACACCGTCACATGTGAACAGAGTTGTGGTGCGCATGGGTGGCTGGATGGCCGGACGGACGCACGGACGGACGGACCTCTTGGTAAGCGAGGCCGAGGAATTTCCACAGCCGGGCGTCCTTGGGAAGCAGCACAAGAGACCTGACACACACACAGGGGGGCATCAATCACATCAACACGCACACTGAACACGCCACTGGACCCGTCGTCTCTCTCACCTCTCGTAAAACGATATTGCCTGCTCGATGTTGCCCTGGTCATACTCGAGGTTCCCCAGAAGCGTCAGCAGCCCGCCCCAACCCTTCCTCCCCTCCTGCACCGTCCCCTGGCCACCATCACCATCACCCCCACCCCCACCCCCACCACCGCCCTTCTGTCTGTCCATGCGATCGACAAACCTCCGGAGCTCATCCCTGGCCCTTTCTAGGTCGCCTTGCTTGATGAGGCACAGCACCAGCCACCGCATGCTGCCGATGTCTGACGGGTCCTTGCCCAGCGCGACGCGGCACTTCTTGATCTGGGCGTCCAATGCCGCGCGGTCCGCGGGCTCTGCAGCTGCTGCCGCATCGGTGTGATCAGGCTGATTATGTTGCTGAGACGGCTGGGACGGCTGTGAGCTGAGGATAGAAACAGCAATTGTGACACACAGAATGGTCTGCATTGCATGCACTCACTACGGCATATATCGACACGCACCTGGCATCGTTGGTGTGTTCCTCGACGGTCTCGGTGACGGTGGAGAGGGCGCTGATGTTGCCCTTCCGTGCTGACGCCTCATCACCGCCGCCCTTGCGATGCCTTAGACCAGACGAATGACCAGACGACTCATTGTCGGCCGCCGACGATGGATCAGACGACATCATTGCGTCGGTTGGTTGGTTGGTTCTTGTGTTTAACGAGACTCGTGTCTGTAACCCCGAGGGGATCCTGTCCAGGTCACGCACTAAACTAGCAGCATGCACATGCATAGAAGCATGCACACGGCCTGTCTCC